CAGGACTTTGGACCACTGAACAACAGGACTTTGGACCACAGAACTTCATAAAGATCGGGGTCAACACAGCCGACTACCAGGAGATTTTAGTGCACTTCTTGCTTCCTTCAACAGACGAGCTTTATGGGGATGCTGACTTCATTGTCCAGCTGCCCACACTGCCAAAAGCACCAAAACCTGGTTCAATGACTGTGGGATTATTGTGAGATGGTGGATTTGGGGTTTTCATGAGCTATACGCCATAATCATCACAATTATGACAAATCACGGCATGAACTACCTTGCTTTGAATGTAATGAGTCTTTATCTCATATATTAGTTTCACCTTTTAAGTTGCATTACTGAAATAAATGAACCTTTGCACAATATTCTAATTTTCTGAGATGGTGGATTTGGGGTTTTCATGAGCTGTACGCCATAATCACAATTATGACAAATCACGGCATGAACTACCTTGCTTTGAATGTAATGAGTCTTTATCTCATATATTAGTTTCACCTTTTAAGTTGCATTACTGAAATAAATGAACCTTTGCACAATATTCTAATTTTTCGAGTTTCACCTGTATATCTATTCCCTCATTCTTTAATTCTTGTCTTGTTTTTAATCCCTCCTGGTTATCTAATAAATCTTCATATATTATTATTTTATTTATATCTAATATGTTTGGATAAATTAGTGCTTCCATAATTGGTAGCCAGATAGGAATTTTATTGTAGTGTTTTATTTTAATTTTTAACCATGTTTGAAGTAGGGCATTTCTAATTTGGTGCCTTTGAAAGTAACCATGAGTTTTATTCTTCCCATCCGAAATAAAGGCATGCCAGCAAATTTCTAGGTCATGCCTTTCTATTATTAATATTCTCTTGTTCTTTAGATTCATCCAGTCCCTTATCCAGTTAAGTGCTGCTGCCTGGTAATAGAACTCCCAATCTGTGAGAACACTGTCTTGTAATAATTATTACTGTCTTGTAATAATTATTACTGTCTTGTAATAATTTTAATTTAATTCTTGGGTTTTTTTCCCTAGCCAAATAAATTATGTTATTAATTTGTTTACATCTACAGAGAATTTTTTCCCTAAATTTATTGGTGTTACCTGGAATAGGAACAGGATTTTTGGTAGGACATCCATTTTAACTACAGCAATTCTTCCTGTTAGCAAGATTTGCAATTTCTCAAATTTTCCAATTTTAGCTTCCCAAAGTGTGCAAAAAATAAGCCTCAATTTTTTGCTCATTTTTCCTTCCCCAGCCTCCAAGAGCACTTCGCAGGCCTCTCAAACTCTCTGCCTGCCCCGTTTTTCACAAAAAAATGATGCGTGCAGAGGATTTGGGAGGCCTGCAGAAATTTAATTTTTTAATTTACCTCTTCAAAATCTTGGTGTGTCTTATAGCCTAAAAAATACAATATACTAAAAATGAAACTGATGAATCTCTTAAAATTAGTATGTAGCTTAATTCCTGCTTCTTTATTATGCAGCCTTTATATTATTTTAAGATTGTGCTGTTTTTTCATCACTTTAGGATATTTCTTAATTTAATTTTAAACAGACTAATATAATGGTATAATTTTCTTGGACTGTACATTTTATGGGTTGCAATTTTTTAAAATGATCATTAGTATAAAAACAAACTCAATAAAAGAAAAGTATCATGTGAAACAAATCTTTTTACCTGGAAAATATGTAATAATGTGCAATTACTACTATTTACTATGGCAGATAAACCTTAACATATGATCACAATTGAGCCCAAAATTTCCATTGCTAAGCAAGATAGTTAAGTGAGTTTTGCCCATTTTATGACCTTTCTTGCAGTATCTTTTAAGTGAATCACTGCAGTTATTAAATTAGTAACACAACTGTTAAGTGAATCTGGCTTCCCCATTTCTTTTCCTTGTCAGAAGGTCACAAAAGGTGATCACATAACCTCAGGACACTGCAACTGTCAAAAAAAACATGCCAGTTGCCAAGTGTCCAAATTTTAATCATGTGACCATGGGGATGCAACAAGGGTCATAAGTGTGAAAAACATAAGTCTTGTTTTGCAGTATCATTGTAACTTCAAATGATCACTAAACATATGGTTGTAAGTTGAGGACTACTTGTAGTGTATTTTTAGTATTCTAAGATTGCCTAGACCCTAAAACATGCTGCTGTCTTAGGCCATCTCAGACCACTAAAATATTAATAACTAATTAATTTATTGTTTCATCTATTTATTATTACTTATTGATTATTTATTAATAAGTAAATATTCCTATCAGCAAATAGAACTCCATCCCTTACCTCCCTTTGTATCAAGATGTACAAGCTCAGAAATTATTTTTGGCATCTGAAGAAGTCTAATTCTAGACTTTGATAGTAAATTACAACATACTAAATAGTGCAATAGTTGATATTTAAATATTTCCAGTATTTTAATTTAATATTTTGTCCTCTTTAAAGATACCTAGGATATTTTCCCCACTACGTATCAGTAAAATCTTCCTTGACTGTACTGAATGTTCTTTGACCCAATTGTATTAAGCATTAAGTTCAACTGAAACGAATGGCATTTTCTGCTAAGTACGTACATTGATAACTTATAATACACGTTGGATACTTTGTGTCGCATGTGTTCCTTACACTTTTTGTATGGAAAGGAAGGAACAGGCGAATTTAGAGTATTTAATTCAATCAATAAGCCTATTCAATGAGTACAATGGGAATTTAATTACTGGAGGATGTGACACCAACAATGCAACTGCCGCAGCAATGACCGGCACGCCTCCTTCGAGACGGTCTGTCCCCTTGCTGGGAGGGAGTCGTTCCGGTTTTGGGGAAGAGGAGGGCGAGGGCGTGGCAATTTTGGCGTTATTCACTTCCTGGTTTCTCCTTTTTCGCAGCGCGAATGGGGAAGCTGTGAAAGGAGTGGGGTAAACCTTAGCCTTATCTCTCAGGAAGGAGCTCCGGCTGAGCATTGAAGGGCGTCTTCTGGCAGACGAATGGAACGCTGTGCTGTGCTGAGCGGTGGAAAGTCGAGCCAGGATAAGCGGGCTGCTGGCAGAACGGGGGCGGCGGGAGCACCAAGGGTGTTGCTTCATCTTCAGCCTGGGTAAGTTAAAGAGAGGAGGAGCTCGTCCAGTGGGAAATGCTTCCATTCCGGGGATTTTGAGCTTTTGCTGGGAAAAGCGGTAGATGGGCATCAAGAGAAAGCGTTGAGTTAGCGGATGAAAGATCGGCAAGGTTGCCCTTTCTGCAATCGAGAATGTGAGGCGGGAGCCCTGCAGGTGGATATGCCCCCCGCGAGGCTGAGTGAGAGACAAGTAGAAGAGTGAGTCAAGGAAGCTCATAATTTGGGCTCTGCTTGGGTAGGCGGTATGGATTTCACAAGGTAAAAGACAGTAACACGGAGAGTCAAGAGAGGGCCCGACCACGTCCTTATAGCACTATTGGGTGCATCAGATAGTGAAACATGATTAGAGCCCCAATAGTGCTATAAAGATATGTCTCTTCTCATAATGTATAAACAAATATAGTTTATATATTTTTTAGAATACAGCAAGTAACCTCTTCTTCCCATATCTCAATTTTTACTGTCATCAACTCCTTAAAACTTCATCATTTAGTTCTGATCACCAAAAGTTCGTTAAAGGTTCCAGCGATATCTGTTTTAGTCCTGATCAAATAAAGCAAGTTTATATTTTTTTATTTTAACTATCTTGATCTTTAATTCTTTTGAACAATGTTCTAGAATTTCATTTCTTTTAAGTCTTATTGTCCTTTTTCCAAAAAAAATTGATGTAAAGTTTTTTTATTTATATATAAGTATTTTGAATACAATGTGTTGTCCAGGCATTTCATTTTACAGCAGAAAAAACCCATATACTGCTAATAATACATATTATAATTATAATCATATTTATAATTATATCAGCTTATTTATGATCATATTAATTCTATTAGCATACATAGTTATAAAGCAACATTCCTATTTTACTTACACATAGCAAAGCACTTTCTTCATCAAGTTTCTACCTTATCTCTAACCATTGATAAAACCTATTCCACATTAAATAATAATCTGTATCGTCTTTATTTTTTAGTTAGGGTTAGGGTTTTTCCAGTTCTGTCAATGTCAATCTATCCATCTCTGCAAAATCCAGTATTTTCTGAATTATATTTTTATCTGATGGAGTGTTCTCATTTTTCCAATATTGGGCAAATACAATTCTCAGTGTTATCAATACATGTAGCATTAAATATCTAGACCCTTTATCATAATTTACTGGTATTTTACCTAACAAAAATATTTCTGACTTTAAGTCTTATATCTGTGATGGCCAACCTATACGGAGCAATTTCTGAGGGCATGCAAATTGTTGCCCTGTCAGCTCCACCGCCATACGCGCGCTAGCAAGCTGATTTTCAGTTTTGATTTTCGGCCATTTTTCTCCCTCTGGAGGCTTCCCTGAAATCTTCAGAGGGCAAAAAACCACCCAATGTGCAAACCGGAAGTTCAGGAACAGACTTCCAGTTTGCGCATTGGTCTGTTTTTCATCCTCCGGAGGATTCCTGAAGCCTGGGTAGAGCGAAAAACAGCCCAACGTGCCTCCTGGAAGTATGGAGGCTTCAGTGAGGCCTGCGCACATGTGCAGGGATAGGGCATTGAATTATGGGTGTGGGCACACGTGCAACCCCCCACACTTTTGGCATGCCTCAACAAAAAGGTTAGCCATCGCTGGTCTATATGTTGCTTAGTCATCTTTTCCAGCCGTGTGTGTATTTTTGTCCAATATTTTCTTGCTTTCATACATTTCTACCACATAAGATAATAGGTACCTGGAATCTGATTACATTTTGAACATTTGAAAGATGTTGTTAAATATTTTTAATCTCCTTTGTTTTAATATATTTTAGACTGTGTTTGTTAAAAAGCTATACCTTGTACGGGCTCTGGGAAGTCG